ATAGATGAAGCCCAAGTGAGTTAGTATCTACTCCCGTGGGGTGGACGCTATGTGGATGTGATGTATGTTCCACAGATACCTACCGAAGCAGCATGCAGCAGCCTCCCTGCACACAGCAGTAGCTACACACTGCTTCTGCCATAGCTTTTTTTTGGTCCTGATGGGAAATCCAGGCCAAACTGGGACCTGGATCTCCATGGGGTGGTAACTCACAGTGCATTGGTAACTGGCAGCCATCAGGTGAGGAGTCACAGCACAGTGGTGCCAGGTAGGGAGATGGGCACGTGCCCAAAGTGAGCTCAGATGAGCTGGCTGCAGGTCCGGATGGACATCTGAAGCTTGTTTCAACTCACTCCAAACCACTCCAGTCTCAGATCAACTTGGAAGCTATGTTATTTTCAAGTCTACTTCTTTTGGCAACCAAGAAATAATAAGTAAGAGGCTGATATTATTTCAGCTTCAGAGGGGTGACTAATCAGGTTTGCAAGGAAAGCAGCTTGGTTGACTGCTGAGGGCTTTGCAGAGATAACGATCTCCCCTTAAGAGGGACTCTCCATGGGCTGGAATGCTGAACATTATCTGCTCCTTGCATTCATCTTGGTTACCAACCCATGGAGGGTCAAAAGCCAGATCAGCAGGGAAACAGGAGGCCAACACAGACACGCTCAGGATTCCCAACATTTGACTCAAATATGAATGATTCACTTAGAGACCAAAGGAAGTCAGAAACCCACCAGCCCCACACATCCAGCATCTTCCCCCTGCCAACAAGAGCTCCCAGCAAAGACCCGCTCTCTAAAGCACAATTCACCAGCTCCATACCAGTCTACTGACTTTCCCCACCCCTACTTTATTAGCCTGCACTAATTAGCCCTTGTTAGCCTCTGAGCTCCTTCTGACCATCTCCTTTGCTTTGCAGTGGAGCATCTTCCCTGCTGAGCTCGTCTCCTTTTTGCTCCCTCCACAGGTGATGGGATTCAACCCTTAACCTCTCCTAATTTATGGCTTTCCCTCCTCCTGTCCCTCCCTGTTGGTCACCCACCCCCAGCACCCACACTGGGGGTCCCAGCCCTCCCTCCCCTCTCTTCTCTGAAGGGACATCCCCCCACACCCCTCATGCCCCACTTTCAGCCCCAAGCTGGTGTCTCACCAGCCCAGTGGGCTGTAGAGAGCCGGAGGCAAAGCCACGGGTGTGTCTTGCCTCTTCCTGAAAATCATCTCTTTTAGGAGAAATTTTTGGGG